TATTGCATTTTAATTTTTGATAATGTTAGATTAAAATGCAATAAAAATTAAAATTTTAAAAAAAAATGCTCAGAGCCTCATTTTCCTAGCAAACCTCCCATATATTCTAGAGCATCTTACTATATCTGATGATTTAAATTTACTAGTATTATCCACGTGTCACTCCTATTCGAATGCTGTTACTACAAGACTTAATCTCAAATCATATTACGATATCGATGGTAATATAAATCTTTCTGATCATACATCGTATTACTAATAATTGTAAATGTAATAAAAAATGCAAATGTATTCCAATCCAATATGACTTATGGCTTGATGAAATAGTATCTATAATTGCTCAAGCACAAAGTTGTTTAGCAGGTAATCAATAGAGAAATTATATAAATTAATTCAAGAGGCTAGACGTATTATCATCATGGATAATGACCTTACTGATCTTAACATTGAATGGATTAAGACCTTTTGTAAGAATATACCTTTCTCTATTATTCATAATACTTATCAGCTTCAGAAAGGCAAGATGTTCCGCTTGGCTCCTAATAAAGAAACAGTATTAGCAGAACTTTGGGATTAGGCTAAGCAGATAATTTCACTACCTTTTGAGGAAAGGAAAAGTGCATCACTTATCTGCCACCTTAGAAAGGATGTACAAGGGATAGTTCGTGCTCTTAAGACTGATTTTTCAGAACTACGAATCAAGGAATATCATGGTAAATCAGATCTTAAGGAAAAGGCTCACGATTTTAGCAATGTAGAAGAATCATGGAAAGACTTAGACCTAATTGCCTATATTAGCACTCTAAAAATAGGAGTATCATGTACCAATCCTAAGTTTGAGTGGGCATTCTGTCTTTTTAATAGCTTCATAGAAACAAACGCTGGAATGAATCAGATGTTATTCCGTATGCGATGTATTAAAGATTATATATGTCATATTGAGCAGAGATCTTTTAATATTCCCATTATAGAAAAGGGATTATTTCAGTGGTTATTAAATGCTAAACGTGAATGTCTTCCACGAGAACTTCAGAATAGAGGAATATTTCCAGATATTGATTCTATTATTCAGAATAAGGATGTACCAACCATTCGATTATGGGTAGCATTCATGTTAGAGAAATTTCGTTTTCAAAGATTATTTGGTTGGAGAATGGTTGATTTTCTCAAAGAGGCAGGTATGAGAATTTCCATCATAGAACCCATTCCTAAGTCTGAAGAAAACGTTGTATTATTATCTCAAGTCATGAAGGCAAATTCCTCTATCGTTAAAGTAGAAGAGATATCAGATGTATCCAATGCTACTATTGTCGATCATGAAACTGCTGAATTTCTAGAGAATAAATCAAGAAAAACTTTAGAAGAAATGCGATCTCTAGACTGGCACCATATTGTGGAATGTTATGAGATTTCACCTAAATTATTGACTGAAAACTTCATTTCAAAGTATGGGGGTTATAATCATATGAGATGGTTTAGAGCTTATAGGCAGTTACGAGATGCTAGTACTAACAATGAAATAGCTATTGAGGTTATTACTCGCAAAGATTATAGAGATGATAAACTTGCTGTAGCCACTTGAGCTGAGAGACATCGAATTTGCCTGGAATTACTAAGGATCTGTACACCTGCTAGAGATATTGATGATAGGACACGA